AGCCCAAGCATAGCCCGGACCCAGCCCCCTGCCAGGAAGAGGCCAGCGCAGCCCCCAGCCCTAAACGCAGTGGGCAGACCACTTTTGCCTTGCACGCCGATGTGCCCTCCATGTCTCCCCTGGAGGTGTGTGCAGCAGAAGCTGGCCCCTCCCCCCTTTTAAACAAGCCATGGCTCCATCCTATGTCCCACCCTTGCTGGGCAGTGCCTGCCTCAGCTGTAGCCACACTCCCTCCCTCACTGTGGGGTCCTCAATCTGCCCCCCTACCCCTTCCCTCCACAACAGACTTACTGGCCAGATGCTGCTCTCCAAGCTACTAGGCTGCACTCGTGGCTGCATGCATGAATGCAGCATTTATCAGCAACATCAATTGGGCACATCAGCCAAAAAAAATGCTGATTGCCAATATTGTGAATTTTTCTTTTACTGGTGCCGATACAACATGGACTGATGTACTGGTACACTTCTACTCCTTGTTCGTTACTTCATCATGTGGCACTAGATGCGTCAACTCAGCAATACTAAAAAGGTAAGGTGGAATCCTGCCTTGATTCAACCACTTCATCCCCACCTTTTATTGTTAGGGTTTATGGTGCACTGAACACAAGAAAAATACCTTGTACACCCATGGGTATATCCGACTCTCTCAGATGGAGCCAATGCCAGAGCTGAGCCAAAGAGTTTTAGTTAGGCTTTACCATTAAAGATTATGGGAAAGGCTGAATAAAGTGCTCGTTTCTGTTAACGGGAAAGACTTCCCTGACTGTAAAGCCAACTCACTTCCTTCTGAGGAAAAGCACTGGTAGCTCAGGCGTGTGGGGAATGGACACAGCAATAATTCTGAGGCAATCTAAGATTTTGCTCAAAGTGTGAGTGGACTCTGATCAGTTGTGGAACAGTGACTTCCTACCATGAATGCAGGGATCATGGGAGGAACAGGCCAGCTAAGAGGGGCCTGGGTGGTGGCTCTTTAGCTAGGCCACGGCTCCCAGGAGATTGAGATAAAGTCCTTCAAGGATCCTCGCCTTGGATGTTGGGGTGAATGAAAGCACAGGAGCAGTGCTTTCTTGTTGGTCAGGATAGATGAGTGGACAGCCGCAAGGTTGCTGCTCCACTAACCAGTGGGACACAGGCCGAGTCCTCAGGTTTTCAGAAATCAACTGTCACCATTTTCCACACAAGCCTTTTGTCTGGCTGCCGCCCAGTGACAGCAAGATGTACCAGATGGACAGAAATTTGTGGGCATTTGAAGGGGTGGGGGGTGGAAATCTGAGGCCTGTCTGTGCTGGTCTTTGGCTTGGCTGTCTTCCAAGACATCTCAAACAGTCTAGTAGCACCCAAGAAGATTAACATATCCTGTTCCCTCAGTCCCAAGGATGAGATCTTTCACAGCCAAAACAGGAAAAGCGATTTTTTTACATTAGAACAAAGCTTCTTTGTACTTCACATGTCTCAAGTTGTTCCTCTACTCCCAAAGAGCAGGCCACTGCACTTACCTCTACATCATCTCCAGTGGGCTTCAGCTTGAACCACTTTACCATGCAGGTACGGCCAATGTGATCCCCAGACTGTACCACTCCATACACACCAGGGTCCTGGGAGCTCTGAGCTTTGGGTCAGGGTGGAAAGAAGGAAAAAAAAATCCAAGTAAAAAGTGCTGGACCAGCAACCACAGTTCTCACTCCCTTAATTCTGATCTACACACTGGATTCCATCTTTCAGATGGCAGCACCGAGGGAAGCCTTGCCAGGCTTTGCTGCCTTCCCCAGAGGCCTTACAACCTGATGGCTCTGCTGTCTAAACCAGTACCTTACTTAGACTCCAATTCACAGCTCATTACTGGCAGCCAGAAGGGCTCTCTGGGATTGGCTTTGGCTACCCAGATTGCTTCCCCTTCTGTAACTGTTCAACAGTCTCAATCCTTATCTGATATGAGGAGGTTTGGGTATGGAGAACACAACTAAACAGATGCTGGACTTGGGAGTAATTTCTCAAGGTCTTGTTCTGTCACCCAATATGACAGCATCTGAGCACCGCCCACAGCAGCCTGATCGGCAACAGCAATGCCCTGGGCAGACTTCAGGGAGTTTCTGGGTCATCTCTTTTTCTAGATTTTCAAAAGCTCTATTTGGAGTAGGTTGGATTGTCAGGGTTTTTTTTGTTTTGTTTTGTTTTTTTGACAGAGAAAAATTTTGACCGAGCTTGAGAACAGGAGCTGGATATTCCCATTAAGTGTCATAGTTTCTAGGGTTGGAAGGGACCTGAGTAGATCATCAAGTCCAACCCCCTGCCATGGCAGGAAATAGTACTGGGGTCAAACGACCCCAGCAAGGTGTTCATCCAGCCTCCTCTTAAAGACCCCCAGGGTAGGAGCCAGCACCACTTCACTTGGAAGTTGGCTCCAGATCCTAGCCGACCTGACCGTGAAGTCGCGCCTCCTGATATCTAGCCTGAATCTCCCCTCTGCCAGCTTGTGACCGTTATTCCTGGTCACTCCTGGCAGTGCTCGGGGGAACAGGGACTCCCCCAATGCCTGCTGGTCCCCTCTGACTAGTTTGTAACAGGCCACTAGATCCCCCCTCAGCCTTCTCTTGTGGAGGCTGAACAGGTTCAGGTCCCATAGCCTCTCCTCGTAAGGCC